ATGTCTAGAAATTCCACTTTGACCACTCTTTTGATAATTCACCGAGAGGCACGGCTGACCACAATCCCGTGACAGTGGACAATGAGACATACTGTATGGCAGCGGTGGTCACCAACCAGAACCTCCCGCAGTTCAAACCCAGGGAAGATGTAAGCAATACAGTGGGTGCACAGAATCAGTGTTTTTTTGCATGCTCTTGTCAGCTCCCGAGGTATCTCCCCAGACATCACGTGTGACGTTCCCACATTTACACCAGATGGCCGTCGATATCAAGAGCGACAGAGGAATTCATCTGGCAGAGGCTCACGCCCTGGCTGCCCCGCCTTTACAATGCTGACCTATTTGTATTCTCTGCCTAACAGATGAGGCTCCATCTCCTCTCAGCTCCAGCATCCTCCTCACAGCTAGAGATTCAAGCGCCACTAGCTGTCGTTAGTGGGTAGGCCAATTGTACTGTCTGAAGACATGAGGATCTGTGTTTTTCAAGTCACCTGTTCTAAAATCATACTATATCCAGTCCAAGAGACAACAGCACCATGTGTTTCATGTATGTATGAATATTTGTGAGTTTGTGTGGTTGTTGCTGCATGCATGTGTGTTCACTTCCATCTATCAGCATGTATCTGACTATCTACATACTGTATATAAATATCAGAAGCACCCCTAGAAAGCCTCTTTGAAGTTACTAAACCATGTTTAAAGAGTGGATTTCCAAAATGTGCTCTGTCCATTTTTTTTAAATTGATATATTGGCATTAGCACATACCTATAATATAGTTTTATATTAGCAAGGTTCTTAATGCTGCATTACATGCTAGGTCTAGTCGTATCATGCATGTAAACTTCCTCCATTATTCCAATTTGTGCTCAGTCCACTGACACCAATCAGAAAAAAAAAAAAAACTCAGTCCAAGCGGCATTAACTGCGGTATGTGGATTCTGTTCCCATCTCGCAAAGTCAGAGCAAGCAGTTTCATCATCTCCTACCATGAAAAATCAAAAGACATGAAGAAGATCCTCAAATGTGTTGAGGTTCCTGATAACGCTACGGCCTTGTATGAAGTGATGTGTTCTGCTTCTGACAAAGAAAATGACATCACAGGAAACATTCGCAAGGAAGATCTGTCCCTGTAAAAGCTGTAATACAAAAAAAGTTTGAATTTCATGTTTCAGTATTGTGCCTTGAATAAAAATGACTGAACAAAACTTCGAAGCTTTTTTGATACATAGCAAATGGTCGATCTTATCTGCATGGATCATCAGTTGATTTATAATTAATTTACTTATAATTAAGCACTTATGCTGTGGAGAGATAATACTAATTAAAAGATAGTTTGATAAAAATAAAGTTAACAAAAAAGAAAATACTGTCAAGTGCAGCTGTCATGAAATAGTAATTAAATAGTCTGGCTATTTGTGGTTTTTTAAAATGTGCTTAGTCCTGAACCTTGAAGAACTTATGAAACTTGCAATGAATTCACTTTGCACATTTAAATGCAGTATTTTTGGCAACGGGACATTTAGTAGCATTTGTTCCGGATGATCATTTAAAGGTTCTTAGCATTTGAAAAGGAAGTATCAGAAAATGGTTTTTTTTTGCGATATACTCAGAATCACTACGATGTGACAGCGCACATTTAGAAAAATTGCTCCACAATTACAAAAGCATCTACACAGGTCATACCGATTCATTTGAATGCGAATGAACAGCTTATGTCTGCCTAAAAGAGAGCTAGTCCGCACTGCTTTGCTTTATTAGTCGACAAAATAAGATGAGGACAGAGTTTCAAGGGAGCCAAAACCTTGGCGCCCAAATTGCAGGCTTGTTGGTGACAACAGCAAAACCAAATTGTGTTGGTTGACACGGAGTGTTAGAAATTATGAGAACAAATGCCAAACACCTAAGGACTTCAATGAAAAAAGGTAATTGCTGCTAAACCCTCTGGTTCCTCTGTCAAACAGTTCTGCCTCTGCGAGTGGGATTCTCCACCTCGCTTCTGCCCTGAGACAGCCACTGGTCTGACTGCAGACACACCCCTACCCTTGTCAGTCTTTACCTAACTAAGCTAGAGTGACCCTTTACAATTCTGGGCTACGGCCTGTTCGTCTTCTATTACTATTACTGTTAGTAAATACTCTGTTGTCGATCGTACCCTCTGCATTTGGTTCCAGGATCATAAAAAGTTTGGGGTTAGAGGGTACGGAAAAAGGACATTAGTGCAAAAGTGGCTTTTTGGTCCTTTGAGTTACAAAAAAAAATAAATGAATTAACCTGTGTGTGTGCGTGTATTTTATACCTGTACTGTACCAAAAAGTTCAGCATTTCAATTTATTCCAATATATTTTTCAATACTTAAATTTTGTGCTCAACCCTGACCCCACCAGCAACTTCTTAAGAAGGAGACCTTTGTCTGGGTCAGTAGACACTGGAAAAGTCATGTATAATACAACGTACATCAGTCATTTCATCCAACGTCATTGCGCCGCCCCTCCTTCCCATCCCCTTATAACAGTCCTTAGAGTGGGACGTGGTGGGGTGGGGGGGCACGGAGGAATGCCGAGCTGGTTAAATTGCTATCTTATCAGCATCAGCTCTCAGAGGTGGCCAGTCAATAACGCACCTTTAATTGAATAACTTATCTGCCCCGGTCTCCCAGGAGATGGCCAGTATGGTGAGACAGATAACACTGCAGCTTCTCCAAACAGTGCGCAGTAAGAAGCGTTGTCATCCAGTTGGGCACATATGGCACTCAACGCGGCTCAGATGTTCACTCCAGTCAAAAATAAGTCCTTTATCTGCGACAGAGCTCTCTCGCACACCACCATTTTTCTCAGTTTCTCAGTCTCTTTCATACAGAGAAGGCTTCTTCCTCTGTGATTCTGGAACAATCTGGGAGTAGTAGCCCAGAGGGGGAGGCCCATTAATTAATTCATTCCCATTAAGCCCCATCCTCCAGCACTGTGCTCAGCCACCCGTGGAGCAACGATGTGGGGAAATGATAAATCCAGGTCTGTTCTTGCATGGGTGAAAATACCTCCATCTCCCCAGCTCCCCCCATAGGGACCCATAGTCTGCCCGCAGTGATTACAAAAAGACAATGCAGAGGCGAATCGGTCTTCACAACAAAGCGCTTTATACAAAAGCTGTGGAAAAAAATGGCAATGTTCCAGTCCCTTTCATTGTGATGTATATTTACTATCTAATACACGGATGCTCATTTGCAATTTGAGTCACGGTATCACCTTCACCGCTGGAGAGTAAGATGCTACCTCGCAGTCTCTCCATTATCGCCTTCCCTATCTGAGCTTTCTTTTCCAGTGACTGGCCATGAATTGAACAACTAATTTAGCTGGAACATAATGTTTTTTCTACTGCTGACGTATATTGCTAAAAATATTACGGAAAAAAAAATTAAAAATGTAAAATTAAAATTTGTTAATGCTATGTAATTTCTACAAAATGATTTGAGTGCTGCTTAAAATCTCCTTAATGAGAAGGCATGTGAGTGCAGCGGCTGCGGACTGAGTTTCCCTTCATAGTTCATTGGTTCTTCCTTAGTGCCCTCCAGCCTTTTCCCAATTAGAAACAAATGAAACAAAGGATAGGGTAAATAATCGTTTCTCTGTTCCTGTATTTAAACAGCAATTTTCTGACTGCGGTTAGAATACTTTATGCTTTTCCGCTCATGAATGAGCAATGATGGGATGACTGAAATGACAATACACAGCTGACGCCATTGGCGACCAGTTTTGGACACCAGTGATCTTCCTGCAGATGTGATCTCTCCAGTAACTTATGCTATACTTTTTATTACTGTTAAGTTTCTTGCATTTCTTATATCCACAATCACTTAGAAAATTATTATTATTATTATTATTATAACAAACTAATTCAGCACCATTGCTGGAGATGACACTATCTCTGGACGGGTGGCAACAAGCCACCTTAGATATTATTATTATTATTATTATTATTATTATTATTATTCAAGCATTCAACTCAGTGTCTTTGCATATATATCATTCATATATTGGTGCTATTTGTCATGGTATAGTGTGTTAATTACCTCTTAGTCTTCTCCTGAGCATGCTCCAACTATTCCACTCCGGGAAGCATCCTCTAACTATCTCACAAAGAGGAGGTTGCAGGTGGGTGAGCAATGCATCCTGGGAGATCCAGTTGAGCGCCAGAACCCCAACCCCCCCCCATTCCACTCCCAGCCTGTAAGCGGTACCTGAGAGAGTCAGGCCCCAGCTGAGGTGAACACTGAACTGCCCCAGCCTTAAAGAGACAGAGTCCTCCTGAAAGCGTGGCCTCTTATTGACTCAATGGATCTGCCATTTCTTCCAACTGTACAAGATACCTGCACTCCAACTGGTCCACCTTTATCCTCCTTGCTTTCTGAAGTAAAATGTTGTAAAAAAAAAAAAAAAAAAACTGGAAAAATGTCTGAAACCTTGATGCATCTATACCACCATTATGACAGTATCTATAGTGATTTCTATGAATTTTAATGCTCAATAGCGGCACAAGGCTGTTTAAAAGAGGTCTTACCAGCATCACATTGTTATGCGAGTAAGGAGAAGATGCTATGTTCCAAAGAAGCAAAAAAAAAAATAGGTAGCATTTATGGCAGGGTCGCCATGCAAAATCGATTTGTATGCTAGATTAGCTCTTGTAATGGTATGAGCAGTTATTTTATGGGTCTCCTTGGGTTCAATGATTGCTTTCCATTGACATGTAACAGGAAACAATATAAAATCATTTAATATATGATGAAATATACTTTTATTGAACCCTGTGAGGTAATTTATTCTCTACATCTGACCCATTGTAGCCACTCAGGACTCGTGGGCAGTGCCTGGGGACCAACTCCAGTTTTTAAGCCTGAGCCTTGTTCAGGAGCAATGGTCAAGGTATTCTTATATTGAAACCAGCGTACCCAGAGCAGAACCAGGCAAACACAGGGAGAGCATGTAAAGTGCATACAGACCAGTCCTGGGCCACTGGATCTTGAACCCAGAACCTTCTTCATGCAAGGCAACAGTGCTTACCACAGCGCCACGACGCCACCCCATTTGACAAGATCAGGTCGACTCAGTGGAGCAAACATTTTTCCTGTATGTTGTTCCCATTGTTCCCAAGTAACAACATAGTGTGCTCATACAAACAGCTAAAAATAAAGATAAAATATTTTTCCAAGAACACAAGATTGAAGTCAAATGCTCTCCACAGCCAGCATGATCACCAGATCTAAACATAATTGAACCTTGATGGAAGTTCTGGAGTGTGGAGTGTGAGCTACATTTCTAGCGCCTTCATACCTCAAAGAACTAGAGATTGACCTTCTTAATGAATGGGCTAATATCCCATGACACTCAGTCTAAAAATTGCATGTAAAGCATACTTTGAAGGATTGAGACTGTTTTAAAGGTATAGGGTTGGGCTACTTATTATTAGTTACCAGAATTTCACTTTTTGTAGATGTTTCTGATATTTTGTACCATGTAACTGCAGTTGTTTTGTCATGGAAATTGAGCAAAATGTGGTGGTTTTACTCCTTTGAAAGATTAATCTATTTTGTATTTGCAATCAAAATATAACAAAGTTATTAGTGTCCAGGTTGAAAAATACATTGCTTGAGCTTCAATATATGGAAGGACAAGGGGGAAAAATAAATTGACAAACGTCTTTGGTGCAGTTAGTGAAATATTTTGTTTTGTTAAATTGTTGTGTTCATGGAGTCGAGTGGAACCTCCTTTGGTCTGGCATGAACTGAATGTGGTAGTGGTAAAATAAATTTGAAAACAGTGATTGGAAACACGAAACAATTTACCTCTTTCTATCACAATCGACAAACTACAGTCCTTGAGGCCGGCAGTGGGCTCATTTCCAGGGGGCTCTCAGTGCAATTCATTCATTGATTGGTCACTGATTCCATGCTCTGTGCTTTCAAGGTGCAGCTGATTGGAAAGAACCCACTAGAACCCTCACATCAGGGCCCCCTGGAGATCTTGATTGACATCCCAGCTTTAGATGCTGGGAGAATGTGAAAACACCTCTGCAAGTCCTGTGAGAATAATCAACATTATGCAAGACTGATATTTTTATGCCAATTTTTTTTTTTTTTTTTTTTTTTTGATGACTGAAAAAGATATAAAAGCCAATGGATGTTTCCTATGATAAGTTTTCAGTGAAGAATATTCAGTAAAGTGCCATTTTTTCTCTTTGCTATGCTAGTGTCATTTGAGAAATGTCGCATTAGATTAGTGCTTTAAAGGTCCTATATTTAGGGGAAAACAAAAAAAATCAACCTCCATAGTGATCCTTTATCACCTGTACCTGCACTGATGATCTACTTGACCCCACTTTTCCACTTCAGTGTTTGAAACAAGATGTTTAAATATCCTGCTGTTATCTTCATCATAAGCAGCTCAGCATGGTTAACGTGAACCAGCTCTGTGTCAGTGTCCTGTCCCCACCCACCGTCTCCCTCTCCTTGTAAACATTTCCTTTTTCACCCCCTCTCACTACTCGTACATTGGTAGCTTTCGTTGCATGGCGTAAAACGTGACGGAGGCTTTATTTTTCTAGGCTGTATTTTCTCAACCATCTCTGAAGACATTAAGACAATCTGGCTGGATTTCATTTTCCACTACAACATTCTATCTGAAGATAATCCAAGTCTGCTTGAGTTCGCTTGTCATTTTACATTTGACTGCTTGTTGAATGAAGGCAAGTGCAATACTTGATTGGCTAAAAAGTGACTACTGCCGGACGGCTCCATTCCAGATGTCCGTGAAGAAACTACTAATCTGCGATCCATAAGTATTTCTGTAAATTGATATGTGAAATCAGTTCCAAGTATAGCTAAACTTGTATGGCGACTGCATGTCGCACATGGTTGTCTATGTTTTGAAAGTGTCATCCTCAAAATTGCTTAGCCTGCACACATCACATTGTAATAGTGAACATGTGGTTAATTACTATATCAGTTTATAAGTATTTAGAGTCTGTCGATAGTTTAGTTACTTTACAATTCTGACTTTTCAACTCTTAACATTGCTAATTACTTCCTTATTACGTTACTTTGTTACCCTTTGTAATATGATTTTTTTTACTCTGCCGATTAAGGGTGGAGGGTGGGTTTAGTTATGTTATTAGTCACATTTATTGCTTGATCGTGATTGGTCAATGCGGCATTCTAGGATTTGCTATTTCTGAATAGCAGACCACAGCTACAAATAACAGACGCTTGCTATGGGCATGACGGATTGCCAACCATAGACTCTCACAGTCTAGATCAAGTAATAAGATCAATTTTAGATCTATAAAATCGTTTCTAAATCTACATTTTGTCAAATTATTGATTTCATAAGTAAGCTGCCATTTAATAAGCTGGATAATGTACAGCAAATGGGTAATTATTGCTAAATAAATCCTTTCAGGGTAATTCAAGACCCCTTTGCTTTGTGTTCGGGTCTTGCATCACTCTGCCAGGGTTTATTTTGCAATAATGACTGGCTCACAGTTCATTATCCCCTGCGTAATAGTGTGCAACAGTACCTGCTTAATTTAATACAGCATTCTATAACAGGATTTTGGATTCAGCTGGGGTACAGCAGTGAGTTACATTCGCACAAATTGCCTGAGTGATCCTCCTTAGCCCCTTCTGTGCAACTACAGTTTTATAATGGACTCTGTAATGTACAAATTGATGGTTGCCCATTTCCAAGGAGAATAATCAATGCAATCATGCAAATACCAGCAACAAATAACAAGAGTACACAGAGGATAATCAAATTCACAGAACAGTAATTGAATTGAAAGGTAAGACATTGAGGTGGTAATGTAACATTTTAATGGAAGGCTTTGCATTTCTTGGAGAAGTGCTCAATTAATTAATTAATTAATTAATTAATTTTTAAGCACAATGCCAGTGCCATTAGCAAAAGTGGCTCTTTCTTCTTGTTTAACATTTATGCCTATATTTTGTTTTTTTGGGATCTCTCTGAGAACAGTGGGGAATAAAGGAATCTGCCTCCAGAAAATGGCTGCTTCTCAGTTGGTGGACTGTCGATGAAAGTGCATGGCTTCTGCTTTAGACCTCAGCTTGAAGCAGAGCATCCACAATTTACAGTCAAAGACAATGGAATTCATTTGCATAATTGTTTTTAATCTTTTTTTTTTTTTTTTTTTTTGCAGAGGTAAACTGCAGGGAAAGACTTGAATGGCTAATTTGTTTGCAAGTTTGGTTTGGTGGTGTAGGAAATACTGAACATTTTACCTTGATTGGTGTGATACAACCTTGTAGATACAGGTTTGGTATTACACACGTGTAATACAGCTTTCTCGCATTGCGATATTGGTCAAAATCCACGCATTTGCAAACACAGTAATGTTACCAATCCTGCTGGTGTTAACCATCGCTAGCATTAGTTTCTAGTTTGTTGTTTATTCCAGTCAATGGGATGAATAATTTGCCAGCTAGCATGCTAGTGCTTTTTGCCATTAAAGTAATAAGTTATATTAGTTACTGTTATTGTAGAAACTTGAATTTATTAATTTAATTGCAAAAAGTATTTGCATGCTAGCTAGCTATTATTCATCCCATTGACTTGAATTGAATGCAAACAAATTTTCCAAATAATATGATGCTGACATTTATGGGATAAATAGGATCTCAAGTTTGTGAGCCTGAGATATCAAATTTATGAAACTCGAGTGGTAATTTTCATCTATTCCTCGCCGAAAGCTCGGACTAAACAAAAATTAGTACTCGTTTCATAAATTTGATATCTCGGGCTTAGTCATTAGTCATTAGAGATCCTCTATCTCCTTCTCTCTCTCTCTCTCTCTCTATGTATATATATATATATATATATATATATACACTGATGGACTTTAAAAACTTATAACCAGAGTTGTAGCCAAACTCGAATTCAAATTTATAACCATTTATTGACTTTACCCACAATAACAACTTCAACAAAATGTCAGATAACATCAACAAGAAAAGAACGACAAAAGAATCAACAATGACAATTTTAACAACAAAATCAACAACAAAGATCAACTCCAATCTCAGAACCGAGTGTGACCGCCACGTGCCTGCAGCAAAGCCATCACTTGTCTTAGCATGGACAGCACCATTCTGTTGAGCTGTTGCTGGGGAATGGCCTGCCACTCCTGGAGAAGGGCTTCTTGGAGCTTCGCCCTCATTCTGGGCGCTGGAGTGCGTCGCCAAACCCGCCGATCCAACAGGTCCCACACATGCTCGATGCACTTCATGTCAGGGCTGAAAGGTGGCCATTCGATGACTGGCACACCATTCTGGGCCAGGAGCTGCTGGGTCACATGTGCTGAGTGAGGTCATGCATTGTCATGCATGAGCGTGACCTCAGGGTGGTCTGTGATGTAAGGCACGACGTGCGGTCTGATCACAAGGTCACGGTAGTGTAAAACCCACAAAACAATAACCAACGGCGGAAATTGTAGGGCGAAGGTTCAACGTGTTCTTTTGGGCTAGTATTAGCACGCGCGACATCCTGGCTGGTGCGAATCACAATAAAATGGATATATTTTCTCCGTTCGAACAACGGGGCACAAAAGCATAACGGTTACAATTAATCTGACTCCATAATAAATTTAGAATACCAAATTTAGTTATACCCTCGTTAAATATCTGACTCCAAATTAGAATTAGAACTTATAGTTTAGGGACACATGCGTGAATCTCGGGGCAGCTACATCGCCAGACTCATCCGTGAAAACCAGTTACTCAACCGACACCCCCGGGTAAATAGCGCGGTTGCCGGATCTTAGTTCGGTGAGAGCTCTAGAGGATGGAAGAAATTACCATGATAGTAGCAACTTTGGCATAAACATATCATGAACCCAGATTTATGCGCACCACAGGGTCCCTTAAGGGGATCGACCAGGCACTGGCTTATAAACTCAAGAAAACCCTTAAGGTCAATCCCCAGGACTGATGCTACATAATGCGCACCACAGGGCCCCTTAAGGGGATCGGCCAGGCACCGGTTTATAAGCTCAAGAAAGCCCTTAAGG